CGTCATTGCTGACGGTGTGGTCGTACGCCTCCCGCTCTCATCGAAGGACTGCCAAGAGAGGGGAGAGGATGCGACTGGGCACAGGCAGAGCCGGGCATCTGACCACCCCAGGACAAGGAAAGCCTAAAAATATATTTCCCTAACAGTCCTCTAGAGATTAAGGATTAAGGTCTGCTCTTCCTCACAGCCGTGCAAACAGCTGCCAGGAGGACTGCTGCTGACCTTGTGACACTACAGTGTAACCAGGCGCTTCGGATTTAAAATAAATTCAAGGAGGAGCAGTTTCAGAGCTGTCCTCAACGCTGGTAAAGTGTTTTCCACCGCTTAACCACAAGTGCAAGCCATTTTGGTTCTTAAAGCATTGTCTCCCCTAGGCAGGATGCTGGGAGCGCATACTGGCTTTTGTTACAGCCCTTAGCTTCCAGGCAAAGATGGGTAGCAATTCTCAAACTCTGGAGTAAAACATTAGAGAAGAGCATGTGGAAAACGCATACCCCTAGTCTTCATGGACCACCACTCTCCTCCCTGCATGCAATGATTTACACCATGTTTTCACGGCTCCCGGCTTTCCAAATGAGCTCCTTGCACATCTCCCACATACCGCAGCCTGCAGCTGCCTCTCCCCCCACCACCCCCGCCAAGAGCAGTCTGGCCCATGACACCGACGGGATCCCCAGGGGCAGCTGCTGGCTTCTCTCAGCTTGCCGATGTCCACCAGGAGGGCAGAGAGCAGGGCCGTGGCAGGATCATTCCCTGCAACCACCTCCCAACCCTGCAGGGCTTTGCACAGCTACCCCATAGGAGGGGAAAAAATGGGGGAGGAAAGGGAAAAAGAGGGTAGATGGGATTTACTTGGGATTTATACCCCTCCTTCCCTTTCCCCAGGATTATCCCCCAGGGCCCCAGCTCAGCTGGAGAACTGCTGGATTAGCGAGCACAGTCTTCTCCCAGCAACGCTGCACAGCCAGGGACTTTCCTGTTTTACAAAACGCTTCTGGTATTTTGAAAGGGGGAACTTTTGCGAGGGGAAGTACATTGCCGTTCATACAGCCTCCCCCATAGTGATGGGCCCACATTTACAGCATGACAGCACCCTTGCTGTCTGCTGCAGCACCCGCAAAGCCAGCTGCAACGGTCCCTAACAGCCTGCAATACTGCCGGTCATCCAACCTCCAGTGACCAGCTGCTGAAGAGACACCTTTCCTTCGGGGCGGGGGGTGGGAAGGGAACACTAGCAGAGAGGCTACTTTTAACAAGTACAGTACACAAATCTAAAACAGATGGGACATCTTGAGTGCCAGCAGATGTACAGCAGGGTTTGGGTGGGAGGCTGACTGTACTCCAAAACATTTGGGCCTATTTCAGTGTCCATTAACCAGGAGACTAGCTTCCGTTCATCAAGGAGCTGTAAAAAGCAATTTTGATACTAGCATGACACAACAGAATTGAGATAGGGATGAAAAAATCTACTGGAAGACTTCAACAGTTGTCACCCGTTACTAGAAGCTTATTGAATCAAGTACATCTCTCCATTAGCTGATCTCTCACCCTTACAAGACCTATCAGTCTGCTCTGCTCAAGGCTTCTCCAGAGCGTTCGTTCCTCTCAGCTCCTCACCTGCATGGAGAGGTGTCTCTTCAGCTGTCTGTATGGAGTAGACGCTGAGGGAGTAAGTGACTTCCCATTTTTAAATAAACCATAGAAGAAGTCTTCTATGCTCATCGTGCCATCTTGCTCCAGGTTATGGAACACCTCTTCAAGCACCTGCAAGCAGCAGGAGATAAAAATCACATCTGTTACAGCCAAATAAGAAACACTACAGCATAACAATTAGGCATGGCAGACAAGGCTCAATTACCTAGGTCTTCCTTTTAAGGAGAAAAAAAAAAAAAAAAAAAGGAGTAAAGCAATAGACCAAAAGAATTACTGCAGATACTGTACTATCACAAGACCTAGAGAACAATCATCTACAGCTTCATCTATATATAAAGGTATAGAAAACTGCAGAGCCACATATGCTACCAAAACCCTGCCTGTGAGGGCACGTGAGCTCCCAGGTATCTTGGAGCAGTTCTGTCTCATGAGGCAGCATGAAATAACTTGTTTCACTCTGCTCTCCAGACCAGGTGGCCTCAGGAATTCAGTGCTAGTTAGCGTGAGAAAAGCGCTAAAACCACAGCAGCTTGTGAAGTGACTGAACAAAACAGCAAGTCACCGCTACGTTACAATAAATGTACTTTAGACTTCAGGGCAGTCTATTTTTTTTTTTTTTTAAATTAAAGGAAGAACCAAGCTTATTCGGATTAGAGATATTAAAAATAATCCCTTCCTATTCCTTTGCCTTCAATTTCTTTTATTTTTATTTTTCCATTTTCAGATTCCTCTCTTCATATACTGAAAGCATTTTGTTGCAAATGCTGCAAAGGAATACCCATTCAGAAAGAAACTTTATGAAGAAAATCATTTAAAAATGTTATTTTAAGATGCAAAACAGTCTTTTTCATATAAAAACTGAATTCTAAATTGACAAGAGAACCTTTTGTTTAAAAAAAAATTTACTTATGGATTCTTTCTGGATCACAGAAATAGCCCTCAGGCCTTTGCAAACAAAGTCAAAAGCAACTGTCTACAAATATTTTAATAAATACCTGCTTCCTAGCCAGAACATTCCTGGGATTAAGGAGACACGCTGAGAATCTGTGATAAATTTTTAAACAAAAGTTTACTCAGGAGAAGACGCTTGCACGTTACAGCGCCGGTAAGGCTGGTAGCTACCTTTTATCAGAGCAGCCTCATGCATTTGATGATTTGAAACCAGTAAACTCATAAGAAAGCCATGAACTGGAGCTGAAACCTGCTTTCCAAGTAGTGGAAATTCTGCTAATCAGCACTTGCTTTTTAAGGCTTGTGTACACCAGCATGAAACCTGGGAACAGGTACTGACACCAGCAAGGCTTTGGGCAGCCCCGGCACCTTCGCCTTGACAGAGAGCCCCCGGGGTCGCTCACCTCCCCATCCACGTTTTGGAGGCCATACTGCTCGCAAATGGAGACAAGTTTTTTCCTGTGCAAGTGGCCGTCCCTGGCGACGCCGAGGTGCTCGCAGACCTCCTGCAGCTTCTCCTCCACCCAGTCGGGCACCGGTATCGCAGTGCTCTGCGAGGCCGTCAGGTCATCTGGGTTCCAGAAGCGCAGCTGGCCTGAAACAGCGACCGCATTGGTTTAACAGAGTCATTAGCAATCAGCAATGCAAAAGCGACCACAGGACGACCCACAGGTTTCGTAACCCCCTGTGCAGCTTATGTCCTCAGTGCTTACGGCCAGGTCTTGGCCCTCAGAAGCCTTATGCACTGGAACAGGGAGTGGAGTCTCCATCCTTGGAGATATTCAAACCTTGTCTGGACACAATCCTGGGCAACCTGCTCTAGGTGATTCCGCTTGAGCGGGGGGGGTTGGACTAGGTGATCTCCAGAGGTCCCTGCCAACCTGTGATACTGTTTGCCTTACCCCATCCAGCACGGAGCACAGCTTGCAATGTTGGGGTACTGCAATAAGCATCAGCTTGGCAACGCTACCAGACTCTACCAAAAGGAGCGGATGGAGGACAGAGAAGGCTGCAGCCAACCCACAGCCCTGAGGGCCTCCGGAGACACGGCTGGAGCCCAGTGTTTGCTGGGGTCAAGGGACAGGATAGAGCAAGCTGTGTGTCAGCACAGATCGGCTTTCAGTTATCTGCAGGAGCAGGTCTCGGGCAGCTCCTCAAGTTCTCATCTCAGGACAAGCTTTGCCCCCAGACCAGGCTGTCCACAATGCCCCTGTGCTCTGAGTGCAAATAGCGGCGTGTGTATTGCTCCAAGTACTTCCAAACAACTCTGGGGGGAAAAAGCCATCAGTTGAACACATTTCCTCTACCTCCAGCAAATACCTTGAGTGCAATCTTATCCAGCTGGAAGCACTTACAGACCCATTAGATACAAAACACTCAGTCTTCGCAGCTGCAAGGCCATCCCCTTCTATCCTCTACCTCACCCAAGAGACTGGTAAAGTGGCATTTGGAGTTAAAAATCGATCCCCTTGGATACAGAAGGGGTTAGACAGCAGCTGAAATATGGAAAAGGCATTGGAGCAATTAAGTTACATAGCCTAGTCCTGAGAGCGTTGTCGCGCGCAGCTTCGCCGGCCTTTGGTTTCGTTGAGCCTCCGCGCAGGCTAAGTCTGGTGCCTTTCCCTCGAGCATCCCTGCGTGAACCAGCCCCACGCAAGTCTTTAGCCATTTCCCAAAGCAAAGCAGGACCCTTCCGGGCTGCTCTGCCCGCTGCCTTCCCTGCTCAGCCACCCGCACAGCACCCAGGGGTCAGGCTGCGCTCCCCTTGCAGGAGAAATAGGAAACTAATGATTAAATCACGCTGACATCTAGTGACTGCTGCACTCTACTACATCTAGCAGCCCTGCCTCACCCAGCTCAGCCCCAAAAGCAGGAGAGGGCCCGGTCCTGGCTATGCTCTGGGACCAAGGTCTCCCAAACCTGCAGCACCACGGGAAGCGCACGGAGAAGCGGCACCTCCAGAGCCTGCAAGGTGGCCGCGCACGAGTGCGGGGGCCGGGGAGACAAGGGAGCACAGGCAGCATCATTCCTGGCTTGGGCTCATTTCCCTTCTGAGTGAAGGCAGTGCCCTCCCTCGCCCCTGCCCTGCACATCCCACAGCACTGCACCGACTTTCACAGCAGCTGGAGCTAGCTGGGGGGGAGGCATGTTAGAAGCCAGGAGAAGGGGAGCTAGTGATGGCTGTGGCTGCTGTGAAGCACTGAGATGCTGCAATACACAGCAAAAGCGCCTTGTGCCGTGTCACGACTCGGACCATCCTTATTCAGTGTTGCACCAGCTGCATAGGTCAGAAAAATACTGGGGAAGCAGCCTGTTCCCCAGGAGCGGGACAAGAAAGCCACAAAGCCTTTAGCTAGCAAGATACTCCTCCATGCTTGTGGACTGTCTTAATAAATCCCTTTGGTTATTTGCCTTCCGGCTATGCAGCTGAAACAAATGCAGGTGTTTGCTCTTACCCTCTGCCTCGTATTCCTCACTGTCCCGCGTCTTCCAGTGCTGAGGAGAAAACAAAGGATTCCCAGGTTATTGTTATTCCGAGACACCACACGTATGAAAGAGACTCCACAATCGACATCAAACGAGCGCCAGGATTCCAGCAGTGCTGCAAGGCTTTCATCTCCGTGGTCTCTGCGGGCCAAGCTGTCAGCCCAAGGCTTTTTGAGGATGCCTGCTTACGGCACACGAGGTGTTTCAGTGAGGATGCACCCCAGCTATAACAAGACTCTTCAATCCTGATGAATGACACGCAAGAGGTACGGGGGCAGATCAGAGCAGGGTCCAGGAGGTCAGTGGGGAGAGAGGGAGGGAGGGAACTGCTGTTTTTAAACCTTCCAAGCAAGTCATTCCACATGTCTCGCCCTGCCAGGGCAGCAGAGAAGGTGAGGACGCAGAGGAGATCCCATGCTGCGTATGCACACCACCCATCTCAGATGAGTTTGGGTTATCTTTTCCTTATAGGAAGCCTCAACCTTATTTTCCCAGTGCAGAACTACTGCACAGAGCCAGCACGGACGCGGTAGGAGCAGGTGGAAGATGCCAGCCTGCAAGCTGGGCTGCTTTCCTGCTGGGACACGAGCACGGCACACACTTCAGCTCTCCAGCATCCACAGCATGGGCAGTTTGAGTGTTGGGCAAAGCCGGCATGGCACAACACCGCATGCAAGGAGCAAACACGCCAGGCAGCCGCTCTGCAGCCGGGGCCAGCCCCATCTCCATCAACAGCCAAGGCAGCTTTACCATGCGCTTATCTGACCCAATTAAAGTGGCACGGGTTTGCCCACGGGACGCGTTAAGCACCAAACTGCCCTGCCGTGATGATGTGCCCCACACAGTGGGTCCTGAGCGAGGAGCCCTTGGTATCCAAAACCCCACGGCCAGGGCACCTGGGAACACGCTTCAGCAGCAGGTAATTACGCTGCAATGAACCCGGTCACGCGAGCATAATCAGGACATCTGCTCCCAGAGCACGCACGAGCTGGGAAATGAAGCTTTCACTGCTTTCTGCTTTTTGATAAGGGGGAACCCATCTGCCTGTGCTCGGCTAAGCCCACTCCAAAGAGCCTTCTGCAGCCCCTGCCACAGGCCAGGAGATCAAGGCGGGCTCTCCGCTGAGCTAGGCAGGAGAGAGAAACTATCTTCTTTCCTGGTTTTAAACCATCCTGCTCTTCTGCGGCAATACCACATCAGCTCTCGCAGCACGAGGAGCAGGGCAACAGCCCCCAGCCTGGAGGTAGGAAGGACGTGGGAGAAGAGGGCAGCAATCCCCCACAGCAGGCACCCAAAAACACTGCACAGCTCCTGGGCTTGGAAAAGTCGTTCCACATGCCATTGGCCAGGAGACACTTGCAGGTTTATTTAGCATACGTTGCTTAAGTGATTTACCACATATTATGTGGCAGTCTGTAGTCTGGACCACCCTCGTGCCAGCTGATGGTATTTGTTCAACACATGGCGCCCAGCAATAGTGACTTCATCTCAGCAGCAGCACAGGCAGATGCTACTTCTCCACAGTTAGAAGCGCATACTTACACGTGCATGTGACTGATGGACTTAAACTCAAAGTCACCCAGGACATAAAGGGGCTCTAAATCATCATATAAAAGTTCAATACATCTCATTCAGATTACAGCTAAAAGCCGTTAATCTATGGCGTTACCATGGAAACTGGATTAGGTCACTGGTTTTTTTTGTTTTTTGTTTTTTTTTTTTTTTAAGCTCTGCTGCTTGCTTCTGTTTCATCATCTCCCAGCTCACCACCGCAGCGTTTGCATGCGCCCCTCTGCTTCCAGGGCTACTGCGACAGACGAGGGAGCCAGGAAGGACCGGAACGGAGAAGTGGATTGAAGCTGCTCCCCCCCAGAGCGGACTCAGGCAGAAATTGGGGGAGCGAATGGAGCAAGAGCCCACGTTTCCCCTGCCGCAGG